TTGTACTGATGTGCAGATGCTGGAAAAGATAAAGTAGGGTAACAACACTGACACACTGTTCTCAAAAAATAATTTCACTAGATTTATTTCGCGGAAAGTAAGATTTGGTTTCTCCGGTCAGTAGTACCTCGCGATTATATTAGAACCAAAGAAAACCCCCCCTGCGGCCCAGCGAAGCGCTCGGCGTGTGATCGCCAGATGGAGAGTGGCTGCACGCTACAACGGAACACAGGGAACACATGGGAGAAACTATCATTAAAGCATACTACTCAGTGTACGGATTGAATTTTAAATTACTACAATACTGAATCTAAAACAAAGAGAAGGATTTAAAAATGTTTAGTTATACTAATAAACCAATTAAATGTGTACTGATGTTCAGATGCTAAAATAATTTTTAAAAATTATATATTATATAAGCACTAATGTGCACCTGAGCCCATTGCAAGTTGCAGTATCCATATGTACACAGGTCAAGTAGTCATCTCAGTTCATATCGTCAAGATAGCGAGAGACAAGATGTTTGTGGAGGTATTCTGGGTTCAGCTTCTCACCCGTCGCCCTTTCTACGAGTTCATCGGTCGTGTAGAGGCTGCCATGGTCCCAAATCTTTTCTTTTTGCTTCGCCAAGATGCACTCCAGGTCGCCTGTCTGGAGGCATTTGAACAGTTTCTCCTCGCCGAGTTCCGTACGGATCGTCGCCATGAGCTGTGCCGCGAGCAACACCCCAATCAGGTACGCCGTGAAGGAGCCAATGCCGCCTCCCGACCAGTGAATGTCCTGGAGGCAGCCCAGGTCGTCTCGGCCGGTCGTCTCGATCCCCAAATATTCTTTCATCTTTGCATTCCACACAGTGGGGACCTCCTCGGGCTGCAGTGTCCCATTCACAAGGTCACGTTCGATCTCACAGCGCAGGATGACGTGCAACGGGTAACAGACCTCATTCTCACTAGCACGGATGAAGTTCGGCTTCACCTTACGAACGGCACGGATGAGGTTCTTCAGGTTAAAGGCCGGCTGTGGGCCGAGGTGGGCCTCGAGTTTGGGCTGAAGAAACTCCAAAAAGGGCTTTGAGCGGGAGAGCTGGTACTCGGCGAAGAGGGACTGGCTTTCGTGCACACCACCAGAGCGGGCTGTGCAGACGGGTTGCGTAATCAGTTGACGCGGCCCCATGTTCTGCTCGTATTTGCCGTGTCCCACCTCATGAATGACAG